TCGTTAGAGGCAATTTCTTTGTTTCCAAACAATTGTTAGAAAAAAACTGGTTGCAGTACATGATGATCTGGGAAGTTTTGCTCAAACACGGCTCTCTACAACATTCTTTTCTTTCTAGGTCTAATTAAACTATTTACTTATAATTTTTCTTCCATTCTTTTACACAAGTTTGGTAGTTCGTTTCCTCACGGTTGCCTTCTTTCTTATGTCTTGGCTGCTGTTATGAAGGTTCTTAAATTTAACCATTCTTAAAAAAGCAACAAATTAAAACCCTTGTTCAACTAATGGTTCGAATGGACCCATATTTTTTTCAAATCTAATTTTTTTCAGCCCTATATTTCTTCTGTATCTCTATATTTCAGAGATGAGGTATTATGTACATTATTTACATTATTCGGACTATTGTCCTCATCTTTGTTGCCATGTTTATCACAACGTTTCGGCCGTTGGACGCTCTGGCTTTCTTCAGGTGGTTGAAATGTCGAATTGAACCTTTTATTTCGCTCGCTGGGGTAGACTGTTCTGGTTCAACGTGCCATATCTAATGGATGTCAATTATCAATTATCTCCTGTTAATTCACCTCTCCAAGCTCTCCACTGCCTTAACCAGGTATTGAACTCACAACTCTGTGCCATGTGTCCTGAGGACACATGGCACAGTGTATAAAGTCGTTAGTTAGATCCAGTGACAAGACCCAAAGAGTGTGAGTTCAATACCTGGTTAAGGCTGTGGAGAACTTGGAGAGGAGAATTAACAGGAGATAACTGGCATCCATTAGCATGACATTGCGCGTGGAACTAGAACAGTCTACCCCAGCGAGCGAAATAAAGGGTCCAGTTCGTTATTCCAACCATCTGAAGAAGGTGTACAACGGCCGAAACGCTGTGATAAATATGGCAACAAAGATGAGGACAATAGTCTGAATAATGTTAATAGTTTATAGTTATTCTATACGGACTATTTTTTGTGACTTTTTTTTTTTCTACAATTACTAATATCTACATAAAAGAAAAAAAATTAGAACAAAAAATAAAATTTTGGTGGGTGACTTCTCCTCGTATTAACCAGTGGGCCAATTAGATCCATGGTTGAAATTTTTAATTAAAATATCGTCCATTCTAAATAGGTGTCATTATACAAAGCCATTTTTTATTACAAGGCTTTTCAAATTACTCTTTTGCTTAGTTATATAATGCTTGGAAAATTAGTGTATTTATTCCGATATTTAAAGATGATGCAATACCATACATTTTATTGCATTATCTTTATGAAACAAGCAATTGCTATTGCATCATCTTTGAAAGAATGTTGAAACATTGCATCATCATTCAACAAGTATAAAAAAACAGTGATCGCTTGGTAACTATTAAATATGTCGTTTGGCCTTAGAATTGCAAAGCTTTCAAAAAATGTAAAAACATCAAAAGCTAAACTTTCACAATTGTTATCCGAGTTAGATGAAGAGTGGGAAGAAGAAATAAGTGATGAATCTTTTTTCTTCTGAAGATGTTAATAAAAGTGATAATGACAGCATTACTTATTCCGAATCAGATGATGATATGAATGATGTCAACAAAACTGACAGAAATCATTCTTCAAACCTTTCAATAATAAAAGAAATGTATTATTCTAAACATAAGTCTAAAATTTGGTCATTTGGTCTTCTAAACCAGTTGGAATGACACAAGAAGAACTCCGTCTTACAATGTTTTACATCAAAAGCCTAGACCTTCACGTTTTGTAAGATCTTGTGATTCAGCTCTTTCATAATTTATATTCTTCATGAAGCTAAATCTCCTGGAAATAATCCCCAAAATTGACAAATGTTGAAGGAATTCAGGTCTTGCAGGCATTGATACAACTATAAGCTCTAGTGAGCAATATACTTCCCAGAAAAGATTCAATGAGTGAAAGAAAAAAACATGCACCTTGTAGGGTCCTAAAATGGATAGAATAAACGCAAACTCTGTCACATTTGCCAAAAACATATCTGTCAAAGCCATTTGAAAGCATGTGCAAAATGCAGCGATAAATTGTATTTTTTAATGTAATTTGAATTAAGTTTATAATTTAAAACTAAATGAAAAGATAATTAAAAGAAAGAAAAATGTAGTTCCAACGAATGATGTAATTTTTTGTTTCAGTGAATAAATTTTGGTTAAAATTGTTTATTTCTTTGCCCATCTATAATTATACATAACTAATATCGTCAAAAAAAAGGCAAAAAGTTTAAATAGTTAAAAAAAAAAATGGTTCCCTTGCACCCAGGTGGTATTTAATGGAAATCGGTTTTCTTGGTAGACTTGGCAAAACGCGTTAGTTGCTCACCATAACGAGACTGACCCTTGTTTTGACTTAAAAAATGCTTCTCTAAATAAAACAGAAAATTATGCACTGAGACGAATTTTTTTAGAAAGTGCTTTAATCAGTAATTTATCCACCGTAAATCTGCGTCCAGTTTTTACCACTTTTGGCAGCTTTTCTGTTATCACAATGTCGCATATTTAATAACAAAGACGATGGAAGTAAAAAGAAAAAGAATCTAAAAGAAATTGTCTCCATTATTTAACTGTAGGGTATACAAAAAAAAATCAAAAATCTTTTTCCTTAATTTAAAATTTCCGGCGTCTTTCGTTCGTGCGCATGTGTAGAAGGCATCAACGTAAGCAAACCTAGTCTGATGAAGTCCTAAGGGATGATCCTTTTTACGTATATTAATAAAAGAAATAGGAAGCGGAAAACATTTTATACCAACGCGTTTCCTTCCTTGAGGAAATTTATCAAGTGTAGACATTTTATTTGGTTATCAAAATTTACACTATTGATGGTACACTGAAAAAGAGGGGGATTTCTCACCGTTTCTTTTTTTTTTTTAAATAATTTTTCTACAAATAAAAAACCCGTGAGCCACTCAAATTAGAGAGTTATTGATTGACGTTTCTCGTCTTCAGCAACTTTGTAAATATCTTGTATCAGTCCTATTCAGACCTCAGTGTCTAAAGCACTAAAGTCCTGCAGGACTTTCAATATATGCAAAGTACTTACGAGGAATGATGGAATTTAATTGATAGTTCTTTAAATATCGTTACATTATGAATATACTATGGTCGCTCGTCCAATATATATGTAAGAATCGGATCTTTTTTTCCCCTTTAAGGCACACTGCAAATTAGTACTATTTCTCTTCTTCAGCAACTTTATAAATATCTCTTCTCTGTTTTTCTAGTCCTCTCCTAACCTCCTTGTCTTTCGCCAACTTTAGAAAGTGCTGAAGGTTTTACAAGGATTTTTCTTCAAAAATTGAATTTTAGTAATAGTTCTTTTAATATCGTTGTGTTTGTGTCTGTTCGTCCAATGTCAATATATTTTATTCCCCTATCTGGTATTAATGGCAGAACCATTTCTATAACATTTACTATTTGTTTACAAAGTCTGTAACTTGTTTGGTGTCGTTTAGTTTATTTTGTTTTAAGGCAAATCAACACCTCAATGGGTTATATTAATTCCGACGAGATTTTTAGGATATGTATTAATATTTTTTTCCAAAAATTTATTGCTGGTAATATTCTTTGTAAGGAATCAGTTTGTAGATCAGGTTTCATTGATGTATCTTTGTAAATAGTGCTTTTACCAAGAGTCTAGATTGGTTTAGTTTGTTTGTTTTAAGTCATCTCTACCTCAAGGGGTTATTTAATGCCGACAAGATTTTTTGTATTTTTGTGATGAGGGTTTTTGTCGAGAGTCAAATTGCTTTTCAAAAATGTATTGATGAGATTTTTACTTTAAAAATCTATTTTTATACTTCTGTAGTATTTTGACTCAAATTTAGAGGTTAACTATTTGCCCATAGCTGGAACCCTAACAGATGCTACCACCCACGATCAGGGGGAAACCTGGGAACAACATCAATTAAGAGGTGGTTCTACGGTCGTCAGAATATCCTCATCAGAGGCCCAGAACGGTGTAACTTGTGCTTTCTAACACTGATATTAATCCCAAGTGGAGAATGAATAGATAGGTTCACCAATAAGAGTAGATGAGTTCTCCTATCTCCCGGTTCACACACCTCCCCGGGATTTTGAAAAGGATTAGTGGATTATCCCGTGCTTCCTGTTTATGACTGGGTTTCCGGTCCTTTCTAAAATCTACTTCAACCCTATACTTCTAACGTCTCTAAAACATTATTTACTATTTTCTTTCTCAATAGGAGAAAATAGTTCGTCTATCTTCTGGTTTCCACTGCTTCCAGATCTTTCAGACAAGGGTAGAAGTTTATCTTTTGTTTCCTGACTAGCATTGGGTTCCCAGTTCCTTTTAAGGTCTTCTAATTCTCTTTCACTTCCAGTAACCCCTTGTGTCTTTTTTTTTTTTTTTAAGCATTTTCACTAGGACGCAAGAGGTTACCGAAAATTTACAGCAAGATCAGATAGGAGTGATAGAAGAAAGGATGAGGGTAGTGGATAGATCAAGGCAACTGAAGATGTCGATTGACATTACACTTGAATAGCTGGAGATTATAGCTCACAGGGAAACAGGAATAGGAAAGGGAGTTCCACAGGCGAGAAGAGCGAGACATGAAGCTATTGGAGTAGAAGAGACGGCTACATTTAGGAGTTTCGACAGTGAAAGGTTGAGAGCGGGATGCCAGCCTCGTAGGGCGCTTGAACCCATGACGCCTGGGACCAGCGAATTCAGCTCCTCGGAGCAATTGCCATGAAAGAATTTGTAGAACAGGCAGAGGGGAGGCGACGGCGCGTCTGTGAGAAAGTGACTGTAGATGAGACGCCAGAGCGGGGCCAACTACATTGCATATCCACCTCTGGAGCCTATCAAGAACCCCGAGGCAAACAGAAGGGGCACCAGACCATATATGGCAGCAATACTCCATGCAAGGGCGAAAAAAAAAAAAAAAAAAAAAAGAAAAATGTAAATGGGTTTCTGCTAGAGCGAAACTATACTCACACGAGGCTTTGGGTGAATTGATTAAAAAAAAGTCTTATGGCCACATGACGTTGAAACACCAGTTCTCGTAAGATCATTGAAGTAAAGCAGCATCCTACCTGATCAGTACCTAAATGGGTGACCGCTTGGGAATACCCGGTGTTGTAGGATTGGATGTACGTGCGGTTGGTACACTGAATAATGACACGGAATTGGAAATCGGAGAACCGAGTTCCAGTTCCAGTCGGGTTCATTATGTTTATTTATGCACAAATATTGTTAGGAAAGGTATGAATTACATCTTCTACCCCAGCTATGGGTTAATTAGTAAAACTTATATCTCTAAACCAGTATAATCTCCCGCAAAAAATTCTTATAATCTAAAAATATTTTCTGACTTTAAATAACCTGAAAATGGTTAATAAGCCGTACAAAACGAATCAATAAATCAATGAAATATTGATTAGCTATACAGGTATGTCTTCTATATTTATTTACATTCTGTGAAATATAGATGTATAGAAACTACGGTGGACACAAACTGAGGGATCAGTTTATGTAATGATTGTAATTTAGAATTGATCCCCCACTTTACATCCACATTATAATTTTTTGTTGTTTATCAAATTCTGATTAGGTATAAATTCACCCCTTCTCCCAGCTATGGGTTAATTAGTAAGATTTGTATCATTAAACCATTATTATTTCCAAGAAAAAAATTCTTACAATCTAAAAATACTTTCTGGCTTTAAATAACGTGTAAATATTTGATAAGCCGTTAAAAAAAAAAACGAATCAATCAATTTCAAAATAAAGATCCTTTAATATTTTTTTTTCTTGGAGACACCATACATCAATCAAAGTCTCGAGTCAATAATTCACGTTTATAGAACTTGCACGTTCTAATATCTTCCCAGCATTTATGATCTATTTTCTGTTAATATGTCGTCACAGGGTAACGTATTCGCAACGTTACAAGGTAACGTTGATAGGCATGTTGTTCGGAATCTGCTAAAAACGTGTTTGCAACCTCTATGTAACGTTGTAGAAACGCTGTAGCAACGTACTTTTATTATTTTTTAAATTTAATCATTTCACCCCATGCAAGGCAGTAGAGCCACTAAGACACAAGGGGGTCACTGAGTGTGAAAGAATAAGAAAAAAAGAGAAACATTAATAAGGAGCGAGAACAGAAGAAGAGTAATCAAGAAGACAGTGTCAAAACGATGTTGCATTTACATTTTTCAAGCTCAAAGTTGACTGGAATGCAGGAAGCTGGAAGAGATTTCCACAAGCGAGAAGTGCGAGAGAAGAAACTATTAGCATAGAACTTACGGTTGCATCAAGCCATTTCAAATGTGGATTGATGAGACCTTGCCGAAATTCTAGAACTACGCTTAAATTCATAAAGTCTGGGTACCATAGCGAAGAGTTAATCCAAAGAATTTCTATAAAAGTATTTACCGAAAAGGCAAAGAGAAGCTCTATTATGACGGCGTGAAATTGACTTAAACCGATATGCCAGGTCAGGATCAGTAACAGTGCTGATGCTTCTTTGGATTGGGAAATGTGTCTGAGCGGTCGTCTTTAAACAGGGAATAGCTAGCCATCGTTATAGACACCACAGACTCCCAATATTGGCAGATGCCTACTACTATAGATCGATCCATAGTGTTGGCCCGAAAACAAAGAACAAATATTTGCCTGAATACACTTGCCAGAATTTGTATCTTGTCAACAATTTTTTTTTTTGTTTTTTTGTTTTTTTTTTCTGCGTGAGCAATATGTGCAAAGTCACACCCTACCATTTTCCCGACCGGACACCAGCATAATTTAGTTTGTCATGTATTCTAAGATTCTCCACAACCGCGTGTGTCACGCCATATCGAATCATATAACAGTCTTTTGTGATCTTAACCGGAAAAGAATCCCACACACGCACACATACACACACACACACACTCTCGAAGACAAATGACCCAGTTTTCCGGTCGCAAATCCTGGTTTGACAAAATCTGGAGGAACATGAAACGGATTATATCAGAGAATGCCATTGTTATGGAATGACTATTTCCCAAAAAGGTTTTTTACTCTTTTTATTTACTTTTTTTTTCAAAGGATTCGATAAGAAGGAAATAGTTTGGTCTTTTCTGTACGTAAGTTCTCCTTCAAATATTTTTTTCAAAGGATTCGATAAGAAGGAAATAGTTTGGTCTTTTCTGTACGTAAGTTCTCCTTCAAATATTTTTTTTCTGCTCGGGGAACAGGAATTTTTATTAAAAAGTCCTGCATTCCAAATATTTCAAATGTTTTTTTTTTTTCGTTTCACCCCAAGGAAGGTGATAAAGCCACTAAGACGCAAAGGGTTACTGAAGAATCTGAGAAATACGTCAGTAAGGCAAGAGAACAATAAAAGAAAGGTATTCAGTCAAAGAGAAGATGATTAACGTTGAACTTTTGAAGATCGTAATTGACAAGAAAATAAAACCCCGGAAGAGCTTTTCACAAGCGAGGAGTGATAAACAAGGAACTGTTAGGAAAGAATTTATGGTTACGTCTAGCAATTCCAAAAATAAACTGATGAAACCTATCTGCCAACCTAGTACTGCGAGCGATCTAATTACAAAAGAGGAAATCTCATCAGAATAATTACCATGAAAATATCAAATACAGACTCAAATATAAACATTACCAATGTTTATAGACTGAAGTATAAATATTACCGACTAGCGTGGAAGCCGCACTCCGGATGGACTTTAGCCTCGCACCTGTGGATGGCATTTGGACCTTCAGTGTCCTATATAGGCAACCATCATTTAATAATTAGCTCAGAAGCCATCCTTGGGGCAGACTTTAGACTAACTCCAGCTTATGGGCCTTTCGTCTTTTACCTTCAGCTTCCTATGTACGTAAAAGTTATAAGAATTTAGAAATAATAAAATGATTTTATTTTTATTCAACACCTTAATTCGACATAATCTTTCTTCATATACGCAACTGATCTCAATAGTTTGTTTACACTTATTTTGCGCGCAATTTTTATTTTATTCAAAAATCACCATTCTTTATGAACCCTTCACATAAAGTCACTCTTAAAAGACATTAGGGAACCAGAACTATGTAATATTTCGAATACACCACAGTATGAGTGATACAAAAAAAAAACCTATGAGAAACATACTGTACCCTAGCTTAAGTTTTAATTAGACGATATCAATTGCAAATTGCGACGAAAAGCGAAATTAAAGTTAAACCTTTAATAAAGAATAGTTTTTTAAACCTTTGACTCTGATATTTAAAATTAACTTTAGTTAGTTATTTATTTCATTTTTAATTACTTTTAACTACAACAGTTACGACCTGTTATTTCAGGTTGTTTATGATTCACCAAAATCGAAAAACGGACGGACGGACGGACACACATAAACTGCGCTTTATTTATATATTATTTTCATATTATATGTTTAGCTATGTTCACATAGCTAGACATATAAAATCAAGTACAAACAAGAGCAAGTATTGATCTCACATAAAAATTCCACTATATGTCACGTTTTTTCTTCGCGATCTTGTTGAATATATTTATCCTGCCGTACTGAATGAAATGATCCGCGCTACGTTTAAAGTTCCGTTATGTTAAAGTTTATTTTGAATTATTCGCGAACCAACTTTTTCATTCGTTTACAGCCTCATCTGTACTTATGCATAGTTTGCATTTACCATTTTTCGCTTTTATATTAATGATTTTTACGTTTGTTTATCGGTGTTTCTCTCTTCAGATGTCCTCTGCGTAACCAGTTTAATTTGAATTTGAAATGCCCATAGAATTATTTCTTTTAGCATGTTTGTAGTTTCTTGTAGAGTTTTATTTTAATCTGTTCGTTTTTCCATTTCCTTTTAGATCGTTTCTTTCTTTGTAAGAGTTTTGTCTTTCATCACTCTGCTTTTCAAGAATTTATCAAATTCTTTGATATCAGTGTCAACGCCATCAAATATATCACTGTTTTATTCTTTGTTTTTAATTTTAATAATATTTTCTTGGTAATTTTAGAGATTGATAATGGCCCAGTGGATAAAGCCATTGGTTGAAGTAATCTAGTGACTTGACTCAAAGAGTTGTGAGTTCAGTTCCTGGTGAAGAAAAACTTGGAGAGTTGTGTTACTAAAAGGGAGATAACTGAAACTGAACTATCCAGAAAAGCCATGGCACGTGGCACTAGAATAATCTACCCCGGTGGACGAAATAAAGGGTTCAAATCGAAAATCCCACGTATATCACCTGAAGAAGGCTGGAATGTACAACGTCCGAAATGTCGTGAATATGACAATGATGAAAAAAGTCTGAACAATGTAATTAGTTTAAATTGTTACAATACCTAATCTCAGAAATATAGACAGATAAAGTAGTTTTAAGTATGACATTTCAATTCGTCCTTGAATATCTTCAGGACATGTCACAGTTTTGCAGCCAGACATATTTTTCGTTTGAATTGTAAGAAATTTTTGGAGCTAATAATGATTTACTGATAGAAGTTCTAGGTGGATGTGGGCATTACGTAGATAAGGAGGTTAGCTAACAATTGATTAATTCCTTTTTTACAGCTTATCAACACTTTGCAGGTTATTTAAACCCACTAAATGTTTTTAGATTGTAAGGGTTTTTTTTCTTAGGAATAATAATGGTTTAGTGATACAAGTCTTACTAATTAACCTATAGCTGGGGGGAGAAGAGGTGGATTCAAGCCTAATCAGAATTTAATAAACAACAACAAATTATTATGTGGATAAAAAGTGGGGGTATTAATTTTATATTATAACCATTATATAAAAAAGATCTCTCACTTTCTATACATTAATATTCCAGAGAATGTAAACAAATCTAAAATATCTGTTTAGCTAATCAGTATTTCATTGATTGATTGAGTCGTTTTCTGCGGTTTTTCTGTAGGTTATTTAAAGCCAGAAAATATTTTCTTATATTGGAAGATCTTCTTGTGGGAGATAACAATGGTTTAGTTATACTAGTCTTACTGATGAACCAATAGCTTGGGGGAATAAGAGGCGGATTCATACATTTCCGAAGATTTACGTGCAAGCGAATATAACGAACCAGACTGGAATTGGAACTCGGCTCTCCAATTCCCAATTCCGAACCGTTATTTATTACA